GAGAGCGAGAGAGAAGAGATAACACTTGTGTGTTTCACCAAGAACATGATGAACTTCGAGCTTGATAGGTGTAAGGTGTAAAATACGAGTAGGTATGTGTGATGGTTTGAGTGTCACTGGGCCGGCTTGATTGTAGGCCCCTGACTGCGGTCTATGACCCGGGGCGCTGGGTCAGCTGAGTGGCGGTGTGAGCGTGCCGACCGCCGGACCGGAGCGGCGGCCGGCAGTCTGGAGTTGGACCGGTGCCAATAAAGGTCCGTGCTGAGCCTGGATGTTACAATTGGCGACGAGGTGAATATCGTGCTATGGAAGATGGCTGAAGGCTTCAGTTTAGCCCCATTTGATTTACGCGAAGATGTGTGGGAAGAGTGGTTCGAGAGATTTGAGTTTTACTTGGATGCAAGAAATGTGACTGACAATGGCAAGAAGAAGTCCTACCTGCTTTCACAATGCGGTAAGGATACCTATTCTGTGTTACGGAGTTTGGTGTCGCCAGGCAAAGTCGGTGACAAATCGTACACAGAAATTGTGACTTTGCTCAATGGTCACTTGAAACCTCGAACGTCTGTGACTGTGGCTCGATTCAAATTTAACACGTGCTGTAGAAAGGAGGGCCAGTCAGTAGCAGAGTATGTTGCTGAGCTGAGGAAGCTGACTGAGCACTGTTCTTTTGGAGAGACCCTGAATGAGATGTTGAGAGATCGTTTGGTATGTGGAGTGAATGATGCTCAGATGCAAAGGAAGTTGTTGTCGGAAGAGACACTGACGTTTTCTCAGGCTAACCGGATTTGTCTGTCACTAGAAGCGGCTTCCAGGGACGCCAGGATCATCGGAGGACAGGAGAGCACCGTCAACGAGATCTCTGTGCCGGGTCGGGACGTGACGCCGGGTGGGATCAATGAAGTGCACGCCGGCCAACGCAGTCGCGGTAAGCCATGCCACCGCTGTGGCCGTTCTCATCCGGCCCAAACATGTCGCTACGCCAGCTTCAAATGTTTCAATTGTGGAAAAATTGGACATTTAGCACGCCGTTGTGTAGTCCCCAGAGGGAGCGGAGAACAGTCTCAAACCCGACGAGGGGGGCCTGGTCCCAGACAACCAGGCTGGTGGAAAGGGACCCTCCCAGACAACCAGGCTGGTGGAAAGGGACCCGCCCATTTCTGACGAGTCTGATTCTGATTCAGATAGGATTCATACTGTAGTCAACGCCGTTCAAAATGCGGCTCAGCCGGTCATTGTTGATGTTGATGTCGAGGGCACAGTCATACAAATGGAGGTTGACACGGGCTCGGCTGTCTCGCTTTTGAATGTGAAGACGTTTCAGGAGATACATCCGACTCCTGAGTTGAAGAAGCCAAAGTCTGTCCTCAGAACCTACACTGGAGCCAAGATTCCGGTCGTGGGTGAATTCATCGCGGACGTGAAGTACAACAACCAGGCGAGATGGCTTCCACTGGTGGTGGTTGGAGGAGATGGACCAAACCTCCTCGGGCGCGACTGGCTTGGGAACCTGAAGCTGGACTGGTTCAACATCTTCTCGGTGAGTGGAAGTGATGCTGTCACGGCTCTGAAAGAGAAATACGCTGAAGTGTTCAGACCAGGCCTGGGTGAGCTCAAGGGGGTGAAAGTTAAACTAGACATTGACAGTAGTGTGGCTCCCAAGTTTTATAAACCGAGGCCGCTACCTTTTGCATTGAAGAAAAGGGTCGATGAGCAGCTCAAGCGAGAGATTGACATGGGTGTGCTTGAACCAGTTGGACATGCAGCTTGGGGTGCTCCGATTGTACCGGTGTTAAAGTCAGACGGCAGTGTCAGAATCTGTGGGAATTTCAAGCTGACAGCAAATCGTGCCATTCGTGTTGACAAATACCCACTTCCAAGGATAGAAGATCTCTTTGCCTCACTGGCGGGAGGCAAAGTCTTCACCAAGCTCGATCTGAGCCAGGCCTACCAGCAGTGCGTGGTGGATGAAGACTGCAGAGATGTCCTGACGATTAACACTCACCTTGGACCTCTCAGGTATCGACGCCTGGGCTTCGGTGTCAACTCGGCGGTGGCGTTGTTTCAGCGAGAGATGGAGAAGTTGTTGAATGGTATGCCTGGTGTCTGTGTTTTCCTAGATGATGTGCTCATTACTGGGAAATCCCAGAACGACTGCTTACAGCGCACATCTGCGGTGTTGGAGAAGCTGCAAGATGCCGGACTCCGTGTGTCGGAGAAGAAGTGCAAATTCTGCGTGGACAGCGTGGAGTACCTGGGGCACAGGATCGACGCTGAGGGCTGTCACCCCACAGAGGCGAAGGTGAGAGCCATCCACTCTGCGCCAAGTCCCAAAAACGTGTCAGAGCTGAAAAGTTTCTTGGGCATTCTGAATTACTATGCTCGTTTTCTACCAAACCGATCTGAGGTACTGTCACCATTGCATGAGCTTTTGAAAAAGGATGCTTTGTGGGCCTGGGGACCAAAGCAGCAGAGTGCTTTCAATGAGGCAAAAACGTTGATAACGTCGGAACGAGTGCTGGCGCATTTTGATCCAACCGTTCCTCTTGTGCTCACTTGTGACGCATCCTCTGTTGGCATTGGCTCAGTGCTCTCACACAGATACAGGGATGGGTCCGAGAAGCCAGTGGGGTTTGTTTCACGATCGCTATCCAAAGCTGAGCAGAAAATGAGCCAAATTGAGAGGGAGGCGTTGGCCTTGGTGTTTGGCGTCACGAAGTTTCACCAGTATTTGTTTGGAAATGACAAATTCATTTTGGTGACTGACCACAAGCCACTGGTCAAACTGTTCGGTGAGCATGAAGGGATTCCGGCGACAGCATCCGCAAGGATTTCGAGATGGGCGCTACGGTTATCCGCGTACAATTACACGATTCAGTACAGATCAACGACGCAGATAGGACATGCCGATGGTCTCAGCAGATTACCCCTTCCCGTCTCGAAGGAGCGTGACCATGAGGTGTCTGAGATGGTGTGTTTGTTGCAGAGCTTGGAGGAGGAGTTTGCATTGGACTCCTCCCGGATTGCTGCGCTGACGTCTCGGGACACTCTGCTGAGTCGGGTGCGGCAGGCCATAGATACTGGTGAGTGGCCTGACGAGGAGGACATCCGCTCATTCTTCCACAGGAGAGATGAGCTGTCGGTGATCCGCGGAGTGCTGCTGTGGGGCAGCCGCGTGGTCGTGCCTGCCAAGGCACAGAAGCACGTTTTACACGAGCTACGTGAAGGACACCCTGGGGTGAGTCGGATGAAAGCTGTGGCGAGAACATGTGTGTGGTGGACTCATATAGATGGAGACATCGAGCGATTCGTGCGCTCTTGCGATGGGTGCCAACAAACCAGGCCCCATCCTGTAAGAAACGAGCTACATCAGTGGAATTGGCCGAGAAAAATTTGGTCGCGAATTCATGTCGATTACGGCGGGCCTGTGAATGGGAAGTATGTACTGGTGGTCGTTGATGCAACATCGAAATGGGTGGAGGTTGTGTTGACGACTTCTACGTCCAGCGCTGTTACCGTGGATGCTCTTCGTTTGCTGTGCTGCAGGTTCGGCCTCCCGGACACCATCGTCTCGGACAACGGTCCGGCCTTCATCGGGGAGGAGTTCCAGCGGTTCACGAGGAGGAACGGCATCCGTCATGTGAGGACGGCTCCTCACAGGCCGGCAAGTAACGGGTTGGCGGAAAGGTACGTCAAGGAAGTAAAGTATGCGCTTCAAAGATCCACTTCCGGAACCATGTCCGTCAAACTTGCTAAATGGCTGAATGGTTGGTCGCCCGGAGTGGTCGTCTCTCTCCTCGGTGCAACGATGGCGGAGGTCCGGCTGGACGATGGTCGACTGTGGCGCCGTCACTTCGATCAGCTGCGGTCTGCGGGCGACTCTGCTCCGAAGAATCGCACGGAGACGGACGTCTGCGACTTCGGACGGCTGCGGGAGAGGCGGGACCTGTCGGGTGGCGAGCCGGACGAGAGTTGGCTGGAGGACGATCAGCAGGAGGATCCCGTGGTGATCTCGGACCGGAGACCGGCGGCTGACGCCGGCCAGCCTGAGCAGAGCTCGGAGAGTCCCGGAGTACAGTCGTCTCCGGCTGCTCGTCTCCCCTCTGGTGCGTGCGTGTGTGCGGGTGATCAGACTTCGAGTGCGCGCGCGTGTACAGGTGATCAGAGTCAGACTTTGAGTGAAGGGACTGCCACGGGCGTGACTCGGGATTCTTTGGTGTCCCGAGGGCTGTCGGGCTCACTAGAGAGAGCGGAAGGTGTTCCGTCGGTCACACTGCGTCGATCACAGCGTGAACGACGCAAGCCGGACTACTACAGACCCGGTGCTGGGTAGATATGTGTTAATGAACACTTGAGACTTCTGTGTAGCTGTTGTGTTCTTTTCGTTACTGAGCCAGGAATGGTGTTTGTGGGTTGTTTGTTTTTGTTTTTTTTTTTTTTTTTGGAGGGAGGTAATGTGATGGTTTGAGTGTCACTGGGCCGGCTTGATTGTAGGCCCCTGACTGCGGTCTATGACCCGGGGCGCTGGGTCAGCTGAGTGGCGGTGTGAGCGTGCCGACCGCCGGGCCGGAGCGGCGGCCGGCAGTCTGGAGTTGGACCGGTGCCAATAAAGGTCCGTGCTGAGCCTGGATGTTACAGTATGTTGTAGAGATGTTGAACAAGCGAACAAAAAAGATATACAGCGACAACAAGGTCAATATTTTTTTTTTTTCAAATCATGTGATTGAATTGAACTAGAAGAGTATGCGGCAAAAATGATTTTCTCTGTTTTTTTTTAGATGGAATAGAAAAAGTATCAAAATCTGAATATTAAGATATTCAAACAGTCCATTTCCATATTTTACCCAGAAAATTCCCTGTTCCATCTTTCTAGAGCGCATCTCTTTGCTCCCAACCCAGTGTCACACGGATATACCCTCCCTAGGTCCTTACGCACACCCCTGCCCCGAGCCCATGCCAAGTTCCTAGATATCCTTGTCCTGAGCGCACCTCTGTCCTGCGCGCCCTCCCCCGTCCTGTGCACGCCCCTGGCCGCACGCGCCTACCAAAGTCAATGATAACCCCGGCACGGCAGGGTGCCACCAATTAACATATCAATGTGCCTGCGTGAAACATTCATTGCCTCTGGGGCGGCCGCGATTTACACGGATACATCAGAGGGAGAAGGGGAGGAGAGAGAGAGAGAGAGAGAGAGAGAGAGAGAGAGAGAGAGAGAGAGAGGGGGAGCGAGAGCGAGCGAGAGGGAGGGAGGGAGAGAGAAAAAAGAGAAACAGTGAGCAGCACACATATACACGTGAGCCAGAAAGCGCGAGAGAAGAAAGGAGAAAAAAAGACACTGATGCACAAATCGCAGACGCCTTTACACATAAAAGGACAAACCAACAACTCTGCCGCGATGTTCTGCAACAGACTAGGTGTTGAATATCTCACACTCTTAGTTAGAGGGACTGGGGTCGGCGGGCTGCCGGGGGCGGGTGAGGGACGAGAGAGCCAGGAGAGAACGAGGGGAGATGGGAGAGATTGAGGGGAGACACACAGGCCGGACGTATGATTGGCGCTGGAATTATCTAATTAGCGGCCCTGTGGGGACGACATATGAGCTGATATAATTAGTAATTGGTTTGGTGGTGATAACTTACAGGGGATAAAATAGGGAGCAGTGTTGGGTGCAAACGGGTGGCAACAGAAGCGAAAACAGATGTCCGGTTTTAAATTGAGTATCAAAGAGGACTAAAAACAGCGGATTGGGGCGAATTGAACGGGTAAAATGTAACTGACGGGTGGTGATTCGAATGAATGAATATGAATGAGATGAAAGAAAATGAATGAGAGTGTAGAGAAAGAATGAAGGGATATAAAAACAAAGGTGGCAAAACTTTTTTTTGCTGAGGATTTGTGGATTTGAAGGATGACTTTGAAACGTTTACGCCATAAAACGCAGCTAATACTTGCGAAGTCAATTACGGCATAACAAGGACGAAATCAAGAATAAATCAGAAAACTCAAGTCAATGTCAAGCGGTAACTACCCTACATAATAAGAGCCCATTTAGTTATTGTGGCTATTCGTGACATTTTTATCAAGACAAGTTTTACTTACCCGAATCTTGGCCTCGGAGAGGTTAGTATACAGCGAGATCTCCTCCCGCATGCTCATATCGGGGTACCTGAAAACAGACGACAGTAATCATTGAAGAAGTCTCATTGATTCATGCTTAACTAATTCATCAAAGATGGTTGATACAAATTAAGGGTCATTCTACTGAATGTATGAAAAATGACAAAATGGCTCTAATCTTGTCACGAGTGTTCAACAAAATGCTCGAATAAATTCCATAGCAAGTTGTACATGTTGGAAGCAAGTGGAACATGTAACTTGTATGACAAGCGAAAGCAAGGGCAAAAGATGCACTATAGCAACCTTTTCCATACTATTCATTCCCAAACATCCCCAAACAATGCACTTCCTTAACTAACACCCAAATCAAGTGTCACTATCTGCAACAGTAGCGGCCGATGAATCAGACCCATACAACAGGTGCACCAATAGATCGCCAATGTCCTTACAGCGAACGATTGGTGGGAACGCTCAACGCAGCTACTTCGGTACGATAAAACCTCGCGAGCCAGCGCGATAGTACTATCCGACCCGGAACTACCTCCCCCCTCCTCCCCCGCCCCTCAGACCCCCCATCGCGGCTTCATAGCAAGTGGCGGCCGTTCTGCGTTACTCAGAAGGCGTCCCGCCCACGCCATCGAAATTTGAACCCGAGCTCCGGTTCTTCGGAAGTTCAGTGGAGGATAGGGGAGGGGTGGAGGGGGTTAGGATGTATGAAGCTTGAGGGGTGAGGGGAGTTGGAGGGATGAGTCAAATTGTAAGTTACGTGCGAAGAACTGTTTGTTGAGATAAGTTAAGGATAAGTTCATTGAGGTACACAAAAAGCCAAGGTGTGATTGGTAACGAATCAACGACACAACTCATGGATTCCTCGGAGTCAGGTCTGCCAATGTGGACTACTCCTCTAACTATGAGAACAAGGCTTCATTGAGGTTTCGCTGAGCTCTAGCTTGTAAGAATTCATTGGGTGAAAAAATGAACTACGCGAGATCCAGCTGTGTCCAATAACTGTCAACGTAGAGTCCGGGACCCAATTAAAGGTAATTTTGTGCCGACATTGATTAAAAAGGGTGCATTTAAACTAAGGGACGGTTTTATCCCACGGAGTCAGTGTACTGTCCTGTAAACAGCTCCCGTCAATTATCGCAAAACTTACCTTACACTACAGAAACCACAGAAGCCTCTTCAATTAACCCTCGCCGGCACAGGCCATTTTGCGTCCTTCGACGGCACAAGGGGGGGGGGGGGGGGGGGTTGGTACGACCCCCCCTCGCGTTTGGCCCCTGATCAAGCTAGAGCTTCGCGGAAAAAACGAGCGTGTTGCCCGTCACGAGACGAAGCCGATGATACCCAATTTTAAGGTCCTAGGTCATCGGGGACCTTCCAGGTCAGGTCAATGACCCGAAAACCGGGAAAATCGGGACCTGTTAGAAAGTCGTAAATTGTGGCTGCTATGTGGTTTTCCGGGGTGCTGATCACGAATATCGTGTTAGTTTTGATCAGAGATGATGTCTTTAAGCATTTAGACCAGGTCGGGTCAGGTCAGGTCAGGTCAACCGGTAGGGGTTGTGACGGGTATTCGTAATACGTGTCAACCGCCTCTGACAGCTTCGTAACATGTTACGAAGGCACCAAAACTACTTCGTAAATGTTCAAATGGTTGCCAAATTCGAATTCAGCTCAAAAAACTAGCCTAGAAACATGTAAAACTCGAAAAAGTGAGCCGAGGTCACCCGAGGTCACCAAAGGTCAATGACCTGACCTGACCTTCAGGTGACCTTGACACCCACCCTTATGTATGGGAGCGACATCAAATCACATGTTTGAACGTTTGAAACCACAAAAAGCTTGCAAACGCGCTGCTAATGTTAGCCGACATACGCCGAATCGCGATTCCGGCCAAACATGGTCTCGGAAAAGAGGTCACAGGTCAAAGGTCATTGGGGTCAGGGTCATGAAATTTTCAGGGTAGGTGTAAAATTGATCAATGCGAGGCTACTGAAAGTTTCGTCGCGATCGGCCGCTTTTTACGCGAGTTATTCGCGAAAAACCTTAGGGCAACCCCCCCCCCCTGTGCCGGCGAGGGTTAAGCAATAATCACCAACAAATAATAAAATCCTTGAATAACACCATACCCCTATCAGGATTCGAACCCGCCACCCACCGGTTTCTGGCGAACGTCGACTCGAGTTCCTGCAGCTGCTGTGATGTAAAGTGCGTGCGCTGGCGTCTCTGACGCTTCTTCTTTCCGTCGCGGGCCTCATCTGTAGTGTCCACTGACTGAGACGGCTGCTCCCGGGGCTGCTCGCCGCCTGTGGAGAGAAAAATACATGAGTTTTGATGTGGATCGAGTGAAGAATCAACGAATTGATGCAGTTACCATGAATACGTGCGTTTCAAATGCCGTCTAAAATGACGTCTAAAATGCCAGAAAAATGATACCTATTTGTTTGGGTATAATGACTGTGAATGAGTAGAAGCCGAAACCATTCATAAGACGTCTGAAATGCGTTTCTTAGAAAATATAGTATGCAAAAAAATGCTGGAATAGGTATGTATCTACATGTGGGTCGAAGAAAGAATGCATGAGCTTAGCTTTCATGAATAAGAGACGCAAAAGTGTTTTAATCTAAAATGCAAGGATACGACAATCTCTGTCTTAGCTGCAGGGATTGTGCTGCGGCCTACCGCTGCCTGCGGACCGCCGGCTGACCCCACGGGTGACCCGTCAGCTGATAGCCGCGGGCAGTGGCCGGGCCGAGTGAGGAGCGCGGTAGGGGGGGGGGGGGTTGCGTTTGGACCGGTGCCAACTGCCAAGTGCGCCTGCACTGAGGCGGTATTTGAATCAGACGTCAATACAAAAGCTTACAAAATGAACTGTTCAAAACATGCTTATTTGACCAGCAACTTTGAGGGAAATTATGTAGATTTAGCTGAGTGAGTGGTATGGAAAATGTGAAAAAAGAAACATGAACCTTTTTTGAATTGAAATTTACGTATAGGACACAAAGGCTCAGTTTCCTTCGTTTTCATACCTATTTTCTGTGGAAGAAAGAGAAATTCAAAATTTTCATTAATAGAAACCTCCAAAATGACCAATACCTAATAGAGTTTTTATAAGACGTTTTACACACAACCAACATCTGCAGTCATATTTAACCCGCGCCCCGTAGGGCTACCGGCGGACCCTACCACCCGTAGGGGGGGGGGGGCCGTTTCGGCCCCCCCCCCCTAAGATCTCGGAAAGTTACCGGCCGATTTTCAAAATTCAAACGGCGTTCGATAGCCCCACCCGGGAACTACCTTGTGACCAAATTTCATTGACCTAGGTCAAACCGATGACGTCACAGGTCAGGTCAAAGGTCAGATTTTCACCGTTCACAGGCAATTCAAGAAATGTGCTGTGAAAGCGAGTAAATTGGTAATTTATTGAAAACCATCGATGGTACATTGTTCGTCAAACACATACTTTGCTATCTGAGGTCACTGATACCAGGTCAGGTCACAGCGAGGTCAGGTCACCGGGGGTCACAATATGAATGTGTCGTGTGATACATGTTTTATGGTCCATTTTACATGACAAATGCGATTATGTGGGTTAGGCAGCCTTTGGGGCCAGCCTAGGTCACGTTTTTGTGAAGGTCAGGTCAAGGTCAGGTCAAATTAGGTCAACTTTCAAAGTTGATATTTTTGCATAAAATGGGTATCGATTCGATGCAGCTCGTCACGGGGAGTCTAATGGTGGTCTTCGTTTTGCTCTACGAGTTCTAGAATTGCCAAAAATTGAGTTTGAAAATTTGACGTCATCATTTTTGAACAGTTTTTTCGCTATAACTTGGCCAAAAAACGAGGTATCGATCTGAAATTTGGTATGTAGATAGAAGACGGTAGGCACTATCACATATATTCCGGTTTTTTCGAAACTCAAAAAACTTTTTGGATTTTTTGGCGAATATATCCAAAAAAATGCTTTTTTGATTTTTGGGGGTCAAAACTCAAAAATTTCAAAAATTCGAGATAGCAGTTTTGTAGCCCTGTCAATTCTACACCTTTTATGTCTTTATCATTTTTCTGTATCTTCAAAGCTGTAGGCCTGACAGCTCTCCTCGCGAAGCTCTTTTTTCGGTCGAAAATGGCAGAACATGACGTCACTCTGACGTCATTTGTGGCGAACCTATCAAAGCCTCTGGAAAATTTTTGGTCACAATGTGTAAAATTGATGCCCGGAGGGGTCCTGAAAGTTTGGTGGCGATATCTCCAGCCGTTTAGGAGATATCGACCGAAAAGGACAGGGGGGGGCCGTTTCGGCCCCCCCCTACGGGGCGCGGGTTAAAAGGTCAACATTTTCCATTCCTGGAATTGAGCCCACGACCTTCTGCTCCACCAGACAGATGACGTCAGTCCCCATAATGAGGCTCTTCAGCAAACAGTGCCTTCATGGGACCGGGCGTTAATATCTTTTTTATCGGTGGGTACACCCATCCTGTCTAATCCCTGCCACAACACAGTAGACACGGCGCGAAAATATAGACGAACACGGACAGGCAGATACACAGGCAGGCGGGCAGACAGACAGACAGACAGGCAGACAGACAGACAGACGTGGGGCAAAGAGGCGTGGTGAGGCGGTGATAAAAAATGACAGTTTGATTGAGATAATTTGACGTGAAACACCTCAGGCATGAAACGACGGAGGCGGAAAGCAAAGGCAAGGGAAAAGAATAATGACAGGATTCAGTCAACATTAAACAACTGGCGGTTATGCCTAACAGGCATTCTCCAAATGATCGAGTTGACTAGTGATCAATGACGATAAATGAGGCTGTCTTTTCTCGCCGACCAACTGTGGCCCCAAGAAAACCTTGTGATTCATCTAACATGGCCACATATTCCCCTTTTTCTTGCTTCATGTTTGCCTCGCCAAAACTCTACATCTTACACTGCCGCGCGTTCGGAAATCTGATATCGACGTTCACACTAATTAACAACATTAGATGGTCACAGATTTATCAGCGGAGCCCCGACGCACCAGCTGCTAAGTCATCTCTCCCTACCCATCGCTGGTTTATTAGACCGAGGTCCATTTGATTAGACCGGGTGGTCCATTTGATTGGACCGGGTGGTCCAATGGACCCGGGCCGTGGTCAGTTAACGAGGGCCATCTGTCAACATATCCAACCCCATCGGCACACCCCTTTGACACACACACACACACACACACACACTCTCTCTCTCTCTCTCTCTCTCTCTCTCTCTCTCTCTCTCTCTCTCTCTCTCCTTTCGCTCCCCTCCCCTCCGGCTATTCCCCCGGGTAACCCTTCCGGACAGCCGTCCGCATGGCCTTTGCTCGACCACCTCCCTCCCCTTATGTTCACTTATCCCCAGCGTGTGGCCAATACGCCACCACCGCTCTTCGTCGAAACCGCATGTTCTCGCCACCGCCACCGCTGCCAACGGACAATGTTCTAGCCCTCGCCTTTGGAGGCCTCAATAAATGACTATCCCTGCGTTCGATGTCTCTCGGACGGCGAAGATTCTACGTCGTCCGGCCAATCACGTTCCATAACCGCAGCCAAGCCCGCACTGACCTTGAACGGGATTGGCCGGACGACGTAGAATTTTCGTCGTCCGAGAGACATCGAACGCGGGGTATGACTCTCACCGCCAGCACCGCTCTTTCAGCCACAGACGACACCGTCACCGGCCGGTAATGGTCAGTCATAGGCTTCTTTTTTTCATTCCTCTGCCCGCCGCTACCGCCAATAGCACCGCTCTTTGGCCATCGCAGCGCCTGACAGCTTGCTGTGTATGGGGCTGCCTGACGCTGTCTCATCCTCCCCACCCCCCCCCCCCCGCTAACGCCGCCGTAGCTCTCTCGCTTACCGTCGCCACCACCAACACTGTCGCTCTTTTGCTCACTTCCATCGCCCCCTCGCACCCCCCCCCCCCCCACACTTTGTCGCCCCTAATATAGCCATCGACGCCGGTGGTGGTCAATTTATGGAGCCCCGATGAAGCTATTTGGCGCAGACGGATACGTGGTCACGCTTTAATGGGCACGTGCCCTGGTCGTGCCCGCTGCCTATCTCCCAGAGTGAGATTCGGATGTAACTGAAGGAGCGGGTTTATTCATGGGGACATGATGGTTCCACGGATTTGTCAAGAGTTGCAGAGTTTGTGAGTGGATGTGATTGGAATGTGTGAGAATAAAATGAAATTGTCATTTAATGCTGCAAGCGATTTTAGTCAGCAAAGCCGCATGTGTTTAAAGACGTCTCAAATGCGATTTATTTTTATATTTGAGCCGAAAAATTATTTTACGTGGAATCAAACTCCCCGAAACAAGAGCGTCGAGGCTTCTGTTGCCGTTCAGGACTTTGTGAAAAAAAAAATCATAACAAGCAATACCCATAAAACAAACGGTGAAGATTCTCCGGCAACACGTTTGTTTTCGCGAAGATAAACAATGTAAACTTCCAATACCCGATCTATTCTCCTAAACCGCAACGACAAACTCCCGTCACGGGAGTTTTCCTCACCAAACACCAACAAAACATGCTAAATGGTCTCTCTCTCTCTCCCTCTCTCTCTCTCTCCCTCTCTCTCTCTCTCTCTCTCTCTCACTCTCTCTCTCTCTCTCTCTCTCTCTCTCAACAATCTGCATACACAAAACATCTCTCCCACACACAGAGATGCATGTGTAGTCGTGCTCCTCTCTCAGAAAGATGGCGATTCGCTCGTCGTTGTATTGGCTCCGCACCAGGCAAACGTCAGTCCAAGAATCCCGAGTCATCGATGGGTCGGACCGAGGTCAGATCGGTCACGTGACCCAACGCCGACCAATCACCTCGCGCCAGACACACAGCGGTCACCCCACGCCGCGAAGGCCCGTTCTGCGCGCCGATGATCACGCGGCCGGCAGCACGACGGCGCGGCAGGACCGTTCCGCGAGCCGACAACAGTCTCAGACTACATCACTCCCCGCAAAGTAAGGCAGCATATACCGGTGAAACAAGGCAAGCCACACGCCACGCCACAGTCATATCACAACAAAACCCACAAGATACCAATGCAGCACATCGAACACACGCAATGGGTGCAGTACAAAAATCAAGTATAACCTCGCACATAACAATCAGACACAAAATGCGCGCTACACCCTAAATAATCTGATAAATCACTAACCGGGAACAAAGAAATCTGGGGGAGCTCGTCTCCTCTCCGATCTCCTGGGACCCTCCCTGGTACCCGGTTCCCCACTCTCCCCGGGACTCTCCCCGTTACCCGGTTCACCGCGCTCCCTGGCACCTTC